CCCGCCAAGGCAGCCCCCTGAGCCCGGGGCAGCCTCGCTGGGCCAACTACGTCAAGGGTGTCATCCAGCACTACCGGGGTAAGGCCAGGGCTGCCGGGTGGGTTAGAGCCCCCGTCACGCTGGGGCAGTGCTCAGCACCCGGCTTTCGGTGTGCTCCAGGGGCTTTCCCAGTGCCAGTGCGATTCTGCCGCTGCTGGGGCAGGGCAGCAGGGGCTCATGGCTTCCCCACTTCCCTTCTGTTCCCGCAGGTGGTCCCGTGCCAGGCTTCCGGGCCGTGGTAGCCAGTGACATCCCGCTGGGAGGGGGCCTCTCCAGCTCCGCTGCTCTGGAGGTGGCCACTTACACCTTCCTCCAGCAGCTCTGCCCTGGTAAGGCGGCAGCCAGTGCTGCCCCTCGCGCCTCTGTGCCTGGGTGGGAGCCAGGGTGAGGAGGGGGGGACCCTTCGCAAGATCCCGCAGCCCTGGGGGAAACTCTACTGTGGGGTGGGTCACAGCCCCCTGCCACAGCTGGAGCTGCCCATGCCTCTCAAGCCCATGGACCACCCCTGGCGTTTCCTGGGAGGATGAGAGGATGTTCCCTTGGAAGCATCTTCTCCCCACCTTCATGTCCCCCAAAAATGGAGAGATCTGAGACACCAGTGTCAAATTATCGCATCCAGTTGGATCTGAGGACCCATGCTGACACAGATTCCGTGCACTGGTGCAGGAGCAAGCACCTGCAGCCGATGCTTTAGCAAAACTCCACTCCATGGGAAAGCAACCCTTTACCTTTGTGTTTGCTCCCCCTGCTCCAGGGCAAGGGGCAGAGGTCCCAGAGCTGCTAACCTGTGTCTCTCCATTCCGGCACAGATGACGGTGATTCGGTAGCCAAGGCTCTGGCGTGCCAGAAAGCAGAGCACACGTTTGCCAGCATGCCCTGTGGGATCATGGACCAGTTCATATCCGTGATGGGCAAGGAAGGCCACGCGCTGCTCATTGACTGCAGGTCAGGGCTGAGCGCTGAGCTCGCTGTGCCGTGCCCGCTTCCTCGGGCAGGTGGGGACAAGCTGGTCCTGTGGCCATGAAATAAAGGCATGAGTGCGGGGAAGAGTTAACCCCTGAACCCAGCCCAAAATCTCACTGTGGGGTTGGAGGTCCCTGCATTTTAATTCCTGTGCCTTGATTCCTCCTCCTCCATCCTTTCTGCTACTTGCCTGAGCTGTCTGTCCCGCAGAGTCGTTAGGGCCTATTATGGGACTAATAATTGGGAGGGAGTGAAATGCTCAAGTGAAATCCTAAACCACTCGGACTTTGCCTCTGCGGAGGCAGGAGCTGCCTGCCACGTGGCCTCACCCGGATGGCCGAGGGCTGGAGTGGCCAGAGGGGACGGGCCCATGGCCCACGCCGAGCTCTCGCTGCAGGTCTCTGGAGACCGTCCTCGTCCCGCTGACTGATGCCAGCTTGGCCGTCCTCATCACCAACTCCAACGTGCGTCACACGCTGACGGGCAGTGAGTATCCCACGCGCCGGCGGCAGTGTGAGGAGGCGGCGGCAGCGCTCAGCAAGGCCAGCCTGCGAGATGCCACCATGGCCGAGCTGGAAGGTGAGGACGGTCCCTCCCTCAGCTCTGGCCGCTCCTTGGGGCAGCAGGAGCTTGGTGCCCCATGGCATGGGCTAGGATTGGGGGCCGGCACCTGGGGCAGGGGGTGGCTACCCACACTGGGATGGGAGGGTGCTGCAAGTAGAGAAGCTCTAGCGCAGGCTGGTTGCAGGATGCGGCCATGCTCGCCCCTTTGCTGCAGGGATGTGTGTGTCTCTGCAGCGGCCAGGAGCCAGCTGGGCGAGGAGGTGTACCGGCGAGCCAGGCACGTCATTGCCGAGATAGCGCGGACAGCCCAGGCAGCGCAAGCGCTGCGGGACAGGGACTACGGGACGTTCGGGAGGCTGATGGTGGAGAGTCACAGCTCCCTCAGGTGACTGGGGCAGGGCAGGTTATGTCTGGGGCACCGGCGTCGAGTCGTCGTGGGGTTCCTTTGCCTGTGGATGCAGCACGGGGGGCGGCCAGAGCCGTGTCCTGCGTGGCGTCTCTCACGGCTCAGCCTGACGGGGGGTTTTAGGAAAAGCCCCGCCGTCTTCTGCGCTGGGGGGTGCTGGGATGAGGCAGCGGGTCATATATGTCATAGGCATGGGCTGCTTACGGCAGCACCCAGCGGGTCCCCGATGCTCACAGCCTCGCTCGTGTGCAGGCAGAGCGCTGGACCGGCACTGCGGCATCCTGCCTGGCCGTGGATGCACCGAGACGCGTGTTTCAGCTGTTGGTGGGGCAGGTGCCATGGCCGGGGTATGGGACAGGGCAAACCACGGGTTTCTTCTCTCCAGGGACGACTACGAAGTGAGCTGCCCAGAGCTGGATGAGCTGGTAGCAGCAGCCCTGGAGGTTGATGGGGTTTATGGCAGCAGGATGACTGGGGGAGGCTTTGGAGGCTGCACAGTGACGCTGCTGGAGGCTGGGGCTGCAGAGAGAGCCCAGCACCACATCCAGGTACGGGGCAGAAAAATGGCAGAAGATTGACTTAAAGATCCCAAGGAAACACGCAGGGGCATGGCCTGGGGATGCTGCTGAAGCTCCAGAGGCACTTGGGGTTGGTGTAGCCCATCTAGTGCTACACAGGGGTAGCCCTGAGTGTTGATGCTGCTAAGCTCTTGCAGCCTGTAAATAGTGTGTGTGGGGTAATAAAGAAAGGAAAGAAGGGACAGAGGAAGGTGTGGGCAATGAGGAGAGACCGAAAGGGCAGTGCCTCTGCCATCTGAGGAACAGCTGGGAGAGAGGGAACATGACCATGAGTTCCAAAACAACGAAGGGTGTATTTAGGGTGAGTGTGGAACACGACCCACAGATTTTTCAGATCAAAACCCAGTGACAACTGGATGAGTTAGAAGAAAACCGGAGCCAAGGGAGTTTTCTCCTGTTGCCAGGGAAGTGAAGGTCAGCAGCATCAGCAGGGTCAAAAAGGGGTTGGAAAAAGTCATGGAGAACAGTCCCTAAGGGGCTGTGGAAGGGTCAGCTCGAGGATGTGTTGATAGCTTCCCTGCCCTGTGCTGCGGATGGACCAAGGGACGCCAGACCGTGGCCAGGACAGCGTGCTGCCACCAAAATCGTCTCGCCTGGTCGCTGTTGGAGCGGCAGCTGGGCCAGGGGCACAGTTAGGGTGATGGGCAGGGCCTTTCTCCCCTGGCTCCGGCACCCACGCCCCGCCTGGCCTCCTGCTGCAGCATGGGGCAGCCCCATGGCACCAGCACTTGCTGCTCCTCCTCTCTCCTAGGAGAAATACAGCGGCACAGCCACCTTCTACCTCACCAAACCCTCCGGAGGGGCAAAGGTGCTGCCCCTGTAGAGAAGCAGCCACCTCACCTGATGCGGGATCACCTCCCTCCGAGGTGGCTACTCTCCTCGCGTTGAATGGGCATCGAGTCGTCTGTCCCCATCGTTAACCTAATAAACGCAATATCTATTGCCGTTCTGCGCCCGCCTGAGCTGAGCACCGATGCCAAAGTCACCAGGGACCGTTCTATAGAGGAAACTGGTTTAACTCCAGTTCTCACTGGTGTAATGAGCCATTAGCAGGGATGCGGGTTCCAGTTGTGCCTCTGGAGCCGCAGTCACAGGAAGGGATGGTGATGGAGGAGCAGCAGGCACTGACGCTTGGCAGAAGCCCCTGCTTGGGTATCTGCTTCTGGCACACGTCCTTCATCTCTTGCTGCAGATGGAGGGTAGCGGGGGGGTGTGTGATTTTTGTATTATGATTATTTTTTTAAAGAAAAGGGAAGAGGCAGACTGTAGAGAAAACATTTATTGAGTGCCATAGGAAGCCATCTGATTGAAAACCTGCTGGATCCACCTTGGAAAGGCTGACCAGATGAAAATTAGAAAGCGATGCTGTTCCAGTGCAAGGCACGGGTTAGGTGCGCAGCCGCCTTTTGCAGGGGGGGTTGTGCAAAGCCCTGGGGAGCAGCAGCTGACAGGTTGTACTCTTCTTTTGGATCACAGGGTAGTCTTTGGTTAAAATGTTTGGAAGCGGAGTTCCCTTTTTAGGCAGTTTGCAGTATTTTTACCCTGGACCACAAAACACAGAGAAAGAGTCACGGCGTCCTTGTGCAGGAGAAGAAACCCCAGCCACAAAGGTGAGATGGGAACTGGGAGGCAGGATAATGCCACTGGTACTTGCTCAGGAAAAGTAAGTGCTTTTGGAAAGTACAGTAAAACCACAGGGTTGGTGAAGTATCTGTTGACCCAAGGTCAAAAATGACCTAGCTCCAACCTGACCTAGGTCCAACTGCAGTCCTGGAGCCTCCAGGAGTCCTAAGAAACCCCAGCCACAAAGGTGAGATGGGAACTGGGAGGCAGGATAATGCCACTGGTACTTGCTCAGGAAAAGTAAGTGCTTTTGGAAAGTACAGTAAAACCACAGGGTTGGTGAAGTATCTGTTGACCCAAGGTCAAAAATGACCTAGCTCCAACCTGACCTAGGTCCAACTGCAGTCCTGGAGCCTCCAGGAGTCCTGGAGGCTCCTTGAGCCTCCATGTGCATCTTTGGCTCAAACATGTACCACCCCTCCTGCTCCAAAGAACAGCCCAGAATGGAGAGGGAGTCCTTGGTAGCATCAGTGCTCGGAAGTCAGAGTCCAAAAAAAAGAAGAATGAAGGTGCCAAGGTCCGATGTCAGATGCAATCAGAGGGGAATGCTGTCAGGGAGACTGGGCAGCTGCTGTTGTGGCTGGAAGCTCTAATCCAGAACTAAGGCAGCTGCCGCTTCAGGCAGGATCCTTGCTTTCAGCAGGCTCCTTGCCTGCTCCCGTGCAGCTGAAACATGCCAGAGCACGCCTTGTCTTCAGCAAGAGATGGAGCCCAATTGTTCTTGTTGGCAGAGGGCAGCGAGACACCAGGCATCATGCCCAGAGCCAGGAAACGAGCCCCAGCAAGGTCTCACCTCAGCCCTGCACCCAGCCCCGTGCAAGGACAGCTAAGGCCAAGGGCTGCAGGAGGCTCAGACTTGCTCAGGATGATGGGAGAGCCTGCTCTTCCCTTGTGTTTACTGGGAGAGAACAGGTCCCTTTATGGATGTTGCTGTTGGGCAGAAAGGCTTTTAAAAGATACCCAGCATTATCTGCCCCAAATCTCACATTCTCCATGTCAGCCACTAAGGAATCCTGGGCACCGTTCCTATCTCCAGGCGCCCCTGGGCCATCCCTCTCATCCAGGCAGCTCCCAGCCCTTCCACGCATGTGTGCAGCAGCTGGAGACATGTGGCTGCGGTGCAGGGAGCGGGTCTGGCCGCTTGCAGCCTTCTGCTGGAGTCGCTGCTGGGGGAGAACATCAGGCCCAAGGCAGAGCCCACCAACCCATCAACAGGCTTTCCGTAGCCTTTGGATCAATCCCTTCCTAACTACTTCTACTAACTTCATGCATCTCAGCAGCCACGGTCCCAGTGTAGCCTCCACATTCAGCATAGACCTCATCCACCTCCGTTTTTTTAATAAAATAATAAAATACAT